GAATACACGTTTGCCCCTGCTTTTGAGGTGGGCCTTTGGGACTTTTAATAGAAACTCATCAGCGGAACGCACATGTCTGGATGGAGCTGTTTGTTTAAATTTAACACATCTAAATTGTTTGCAACAGTTTTGCAAACATTTTTTTTTCAGTGTACTGTACATACCACCTAATTCTTAATATTAGTAGACTGTAAGATCCCCAACCTTAGAGTCTACAAATACTCTAATAAGAATTAGTGTAGAGCAAGGGTCAGTGCAAGTTGAAATGTACAGTACTCAAAACGTTTCTTGTAGTTAGTTGAATGTCTGTTGGTATTGCAGTATCAGCAGATATTATGCAAGCAGCCTACGAATACTTTAATGAAAATTAGCTGGTATGTAGTTGCAATGTAAGTATACACAATAGTCAAATAATAATAAACAAATATTTTTAAAAAGTCCATAAAAAATAAAGTGATAATTTTTTTATACTAGGGTCTGGGACCAACGAGGGTGTGTTATGGTGTCTGTGTAAACGTTTAAAGAAAAGCATTTTAATCATTTATTTATATTTGATTAATATTTGATTTAAATAAAACAAACAATTATCTTGAAATTAACAGGAATTTGATTAAAATAAGAAATTTAATGAATGAAAGAATGCAATACTATAATGATTTTAATTACAATTAAACAAATCTAAATAAACCCATTTGCCCTACTTTTAAATTGTACAATGTGGGTCAAACACAAGCAGATGATCATGTCACTATCTGTGCATTAAAGTCAATGGATTGTTCCAGCTACTATAAGTATGAAGCAGTCTCTTCTGCACTCCTGCAGTCACATGCACCACATTGTTTTACACTGTGCATGTTTGCCACTGTAATGCAGGGTCAACAGCACAAAAGCAATATTACCCTGGTTTTGGAGCAGGGCTTCATAACCCCAGGTAACACTGCTTCTAAGTGACTAGTGTGTGAATCATTCTTTTACATGGAAGCATTGCTTACATGTTTTCGTATTCACACATCTCCTGGCCAAACAGAACATGCATGTTTAGGCAAGTGAAGCAATGATTCACTAAACATATTATGAATAAAAGGTATTTATAAATTTATGAAAAACAACGCTTTCAGCTTTAATGGAAAATATTATGTCTCACTGCATGCTAAATCTTCTGCTATATTGACAATAAAGATAAAAAATTTATTGAGAACGATTAAGTCCACTTTTACAAGTGACTCAAAGCTAACGTTACTGAGATGTCTTCAGATTATGTCTAGACTGTGTGTTCTAATCAGAAATCTGGATGCATTTGAACTGTTCAGCTCCAACAGTCATTGTGCACCATCAAGCATGCTCGGTTTAGTCCAGCAACCCTCTAAATAGAATTGCAAACGCTCCGTTTGCAAGACGAATTCCACAACAATTATCAATCAGCATTAAATTCTTTGCACACAATGCTCACTAATGCACTTAGTTTCAAGACCTACTGAACTGAATCATCACAAGGGTAGAACTGCTTAAGGCAGTGCAATGGGAATGAAATACAAAGCAGTCCAGACAAGCGCGAAGAAATAGAGCAGCCATATATTCATCTGCTCTTGTTCCGGCTGTCGAGATCTCCACGCCCACTGCCATCAGGTTATTCACCTCAATCAGAGAAATGCACCGGGCTTCTCTGCATTTAGAGAACTAGATAGGATGCATCTTTGTGCTCCCCCTTCATAGTGTTAATGTCTCCTTTACAGTATTTATTGTTTTTATCAGACTTGGACATGTCTGATTGCCAAGGCAGTGACTCTCAAAAGATAAAGTATTCTGTGTTTAAACACAGTGAATGTTTTGTTGGGTTTATAAAGTGTGCTTGGCATTTTTCTCTCGGCTCGCATCGCAACAACCGCATGAAGCCCCTTTTTTCTCTCTGCCAGCAGTGAATAGTCATGATGCCATCAATATCCTAGGACTTCTCAGACTCCCATGGTGCATCTGTGGGAGAAGATTGACGCAGCCATTTATAAAGAGTGGGAGACATCTATTTAAAGGGAAAAAAAGGAGGAAAGCAAAGGAACCATCAATGGAAAGAGAAAAATGATAAGGAAGGGAATAGAAAGGGAAATAAACTAATTAAATAAAGAAAAAAAAGTAAATGGGAAAAAATATGAAACATTAAAGGGAAAGGAGGGCAGAACAGTGGCGCAGTGGGTAGCGCTGTCGCCTCACAGCAAGAAGGCCGCTGGTTCAAGCCTCGGCTGGGTCAGTGGGCATTTATGTGTGGAGTTTGCATGTTCTCCCGTGTTTGCGTTGTTTTCCTCCGGGTGCTCCGGTTTTCCCCACAAATACAAAGACATGCGGTATAGGCAAATTGGGATAATTGGGGTAAGTGCATGTGTGTGAATGTGTGTATGGATGTTTTCCAGTGAAAGGTTGCAGGGACTAAGCCGAAAAAAATGAATGAATTAATGAATGAAGGGTAAAGCAAGGAAAGAAGAACATATACTGTAAAAGGAAGCCAATGTAAACAGGAAAGCATAATATAACCTGTAAAGGAAAGTGAAAAGAGAAAAACAAAACCTGAAACAAGAAAAATAAAATGAAAGAAATAGGAAGGAAGATAAACAAGCTAAAAAAAAGGAAAGAAAAGGGAAAAATATATAAAACTAGAAAAGGAACAAAGGAAATGTAAAAAAACCAAAGAGAAAGAAAATCAAAAGAATAGAAAAGAGAAAAAGTAAAAACAAAACCTGAAACCAGCAGAAAATAAATTTGAGGAAAAGGACAAAAAGTGAGAAACAAAGAAAAAAGAACGGAAAAAGGAAAGGTAATATAAAAGTAAGCCAAATAATAAAAGGGAAACCAGCAGAAAAAAAAAGAAAAATATATTTATCCATTTTACAATTTGGTTTTCTTTTATATTACCTTTCCTTTTCCTGTTCTTTCCTCTTTTCTTTTTTTATATTTTAGATTTTTAAAGTTACATATGCTTCCATTTTTTCTTTGTTTATACCGCTTTCTGTCATTTTCCTTCAATTTTTTTTTCTGCTGGTTTCAGATTTCAAAACAGAAAAGAAAAGAAAATAAACAAGGAAAAAAGGAAGCATCAAAACTTCAAATATCCTAAACATATATAAAAAAGGAAAGCACGGGAAATGGAAAGGTAATATAAAAGAAAGCCAAAGTATAAAAGGGAAGGCCAAGTGAAAATCAAAAAGAACAGAAAAAAGTGAAAATAAAATCCAATAAAACAAGAACAGGTCAGGTAAATGTCTGGATAGTCAGATAGCTACTACATTAATGCAGGTAGATTAACTAGCTTTATGTTTCGATAAAGAAATTGAGTTGTCTTTGGCACAACACATTTGTAAGACAAACCTGACCATAGAAAACAGAGTTTACACTACAGCACCTTTTAACCTTTTGTTTAGAGTCATTTGAAGCAACACTGAACAATGCAGTGCAGTTGGAATACAACATATGGCATTGTGACCTATTTTGAAATGCATATCAAAGTTTTTGTTCACATCTTTTCGCAAAGCATAAAACACGCTTCATTTCAGACCTGGCCATGGTTAACAGACACTCATCCTGAGTTCACTTCCTCAGAGTTTCAAAGTCAGAAGATTCCCCTGCTAAATCTACATATTTTATAGCGCACTCACTGCAGTGAGCTTAACTGGAGCAGAAGTGTTTATCCAAGAGTCACAGATTTTTACAGGCTGATTGCATTTTTTTTCTGCAGTTGCGTGAGCATAATGCCTTTCTCTTGTGTGAATCCATTAGCACCCTGTTTCCTTTTTTGTCACCCAAACGGATGTTTGTTACTGTCACAAACAAGAAAATGTCATATTTCTCACTGTCAGGTCAGTTCATGTCAACAAATCGCTTGCAGTTGCATTGAAATTCTTAATAGACATTCTTCCACAAAAGTATGGCATGAAGCTTTGGCGAGTAATATAGCGGTCCCAATTGAATGGTGACAGAAAATCAAGGAAAGCAGAGAGCTGCTTGTTAGTCATGCTCGGCACAGCTCAGGCAGCTTGTTAAGGTAAGTGTGAAATGAATTCTTTCCAACAGGAGGAGGTTGCCATGCATTATTAATTAGAAAATTAGATAATTGACCCATACGTGGGAGGGCTTGTCACTTATGGATTTATGTCTTTATGCAAAATTTTCAACCCCTGTGTATTGTGAAAAATACCGGGGTCAGAGCATTTGTGTTTTTTTTTCACCAAAAAAGCATTACAGTGGCGATCAAATTAATTCATAGTTTTATATGTTTTCTGTCAACACTTTCAGTGCTTACAACTGTGCGTAGTACCCAAAATCAAAATATATTTATATAAAAATTAGTTTTTTAGACATTTAAACAGTAAAAAATAAATGAACAACAATGGTGCAACATATAATATCAGCATAATAAACAATATTCTTACAGCAAATACTGTTAATTAATAATGCTACAAATATATTTGAAAACCAACTGCTTAAGAAACCAAGCCATATTTTTATTATAGTACTAGTGTGTAGCTAACCTGTTTTTTGGCATAACCACATTATATATAATTAGTTTCACTGCAGCTACAGTTTAATTAACATTTTTAATTTTTAGTTTTATTCGTAGTAAACCAATGGTTAATTTTCATAAGGCACTAAATAAAACGTTTTCCAAAATATTTGGTTCTATAAATACAAACTCATGCTTTATTATAGTTTAATCGTTTAGTTAAGCGTTTAGTTAAGTGTTAAAATGACAACTACAACAAAGTTCAATGTTATTTACGGTTGAACAATAAATAAATAAAATAAATAAAAAACAGTCAATATTTGCTTAATTGTGTTAACATTTGCTGAGGAATATCCACAGTGACTAGCGCTAGTCCTTCAAACTACATAATACTTTCTCATTTGTTTCAGCTTTTTCTACTTTTTTTTTGTATTTTCTAGCCTTCATGGAATTTAATAACATGCATAATAGGCAGGAATGCAGGCAACAAACAGGACAAACCAGTTTAACTTACCAGCTACCAAGACGAAAAGCGCGTGTCTCCACGACACTGATGCCATGACGCGTCAATGTCAAACACAAGTTTTTTTTGTTGGTCGGTTAATCGTCGCTATTCCTTCACAGCTAGACACATCTGAGCGTCTGTCAGCTAATTGTTCATACAGTTTCATTCAGCGCTGGTTCTGCACTGAAGACGTTGAAGGAAGGAAGAAATCCTCTATTCCACTCAGCCAGCATGCCCTGTGTTTCATAAAGTACTGCTTTAGCGTCAAAATAAGCCCAAACGAGCACCTGTCTGAAGCGGGTCTCGGGTCAGCTGGAGCGCGCGCTCAGTAGTTCTCGTGGTTGGTCGGGCGCGCGGTGGCGGCGCGTCTACTGAAAGATGCGAGCTGCGCTTGTGGGAACATTATACGAGAAGCGCCTCCCTCACTGCTCATCAACTTATGCTAGCTAATAATAAACATCAAACTAATTGATTGCAGAAGTGAGGAAACCACTACGATTCACTCTGCGGTTAATGAAAAGGAAACATTTGCAGCCCCAATATCATGCAAGGTTTTAGTGTTCATTTTGTTTCTTCCAATTTTACTCCCGTCTTCTTCATTTGCAATTTATAAATAGTGAATACACCCAATGCTATTAATAAATAAATAACACAAAAGAAATTCGACTCGAAACTTTCTGTGTAGCTTACTGGTGCAAATTTTTATGTCCAAATGTAAATTCGTAATTTAGGAAACCAGCCCCAGTAAACGTGAGATGATACGCCATCTGTGGTCATAATCTGAATTACAGGTGCATTTGCCAAAATGATTAGTTGGTCTGATCATTAAAGCATCAGCAGCAGTGCTGCTAGAATTAAGTAGCAGAAAAACGAATGGAATTTTCTTAGTGGGGCTTTAGCATTGCACAATAAATTTATAAAAAATTACAAATTTAAGATTTGTGACAAAACGTTTCTAAGTTAACCCTGTGGTTCTAATACATATTTGGTAGGTTTATTATGAGTTGTTGATATTTTACACAGAAGTCAAAAATTAGGTTACGTAGGATTGGGTTATATGCTTATATGTAATCTTAAGCGTATAATCAGACCTAGAAAAATACATATTTTAGTTCGATTGTGCATCAAAAAAAGTTCATAATCAGTTGCCTTTTTAACTACATGATAAAATTATTGAAATAGTTCAACCTAATACTCAATTCAAGCACGACAAGAAAATACAGTACCCAATAATAATTCCATTCAAATCTATTAAATAAATGAGTTAGGCCAAAAGTAATCTAAAAGCAGTTGGAATACTTTAATGTGTGTAATTGTTCCAATATTCATAATGAATTGTAATTAAACCATTTATCCATCAATGGGTGAAAACTATTCATCTAAAGCAGGTCGCACACCAGAAGCGCCACTCGGCGCCGCGACACGGCGCGTACATGACAGATTAAAGTATCGCACACCAGACGCGCACATTCGAATGATATTTAACATGAAACTAATCAGATGGCGCTCTGTGGCGCGGCTGAAAAATGAACTGCGTCCTAAAGCAGGTCGCACACCAGAAGCGCCACGCAGCGCCATGTATTTTAGAATTCTAAACATAGGTTTCTATCAGGATACACACACCGGCGCCGCAAGTCGGCGGCTGTCGGCGGCGCCCGGCGACGGCTCAGGACGCAGTTCATTTTTCAGCCGCGCCACAGAGCGCCATCTGATTAGTTTCATGTTAAATATCATTCGAATGTGCGCGTCTGGTGTGTGATACTTTAAACTGTCATGTACGCGCCGTGTCGCGGCGCCGAGCGGCGCTTATGGTGTGCGACCTGCTTAAGGGTCTTAATCAAGTTTTTAATTCAGTGACTAGCAATAACAACAACAAAATATGTCCTTTAGAAATGTTATACAAATCCTTTAATCCAAAAATGTTCAAAATAGGGCCATGGTAACCTTTAATTTGGCCCACCATCCCATCTGACAAGAGAATGAGAATGATGAGCATGGTTTATAGACTGTCATTTCTACTTAATCTAACTTTTTGTTTGTTTGTTTTGTTGCTAAGCCCCCCAAAAAACAAATGGAAATTACATGTTTCAGTTGAATGAATTAGATTTTTTTTAAATGCACATACTGTCACCCGATGGATTGGGCACAATGCAGAGAAATCAGTGAGCAAATGGGAACAAAAGCTGATATTGCTTGACTAGTGTACTCAGCATTGAACTCCACTGTGCTATAAAAAATGTGACTGTATTTTCCATTTTAATCAAATTATACTGCTTTAGCTACTAGGATTTTAAGAAAAAAATTATATTTTTTAAATATTATGAAATAAATTAGCAATAGTAACTTTATAGCCCAATTATATTTGGTTTTGGCCCCCCTGCTTTAAATAGTAATTTACTAGATTTTTTTTTTGATACTGTAGTTTTTTTACAAATACTACTGTTGTCAAATAAATTTCCTACTTTATGGTGGGAAATATTACCCTGTGTGTTTGCCACTATGTGAGCTTCCAATTTTGTATACAAGCCTGAGGACCCGAGCGTGATCCTATCCGACTGGTGAAGCTCTCTGGCTCCACCTGCTGCCACACTGGACATTTCATCCTCCCTGTGAGGGGAAACGAACAACCACAATTACCCAATGATAAATACATTCACTCATAAAGACTTGAATAATTTTTAGTTTTACCTGAGTAAGTGGCACCTCTGGGTTAAAGGAAATGACAGCATCACGTTTATGTTCAGGGAGCATTAATAGTTGGCTTCTACAATCCTTGACACTCAATTTTCATGATTATTTTGTGCACAATTTGCTGTTGCTTGTTGTATAAATGTGCATCAATTTTTTTTTCTGCCTGACCACACTTATTACACTAATACGGTTTAAAAATGATTGGTATAAAAGTTCAATATAACTCAATACACAGTAAAACCCAAAAAGTTAAGGTAACAAACCATTTGAGAAAACTGATAGCAACAAACCATTTAAGTTTAAAAACTAATCTTAATGAGTACTTTGAACTTAGTCCATTTGAGTAAACAAAGCAATTTGAGCACAGTAAAACCCAATAAATGAAGAGAACTTAAACCAACTGAGTACTGTAAAACCCAAATTATGCCAACTCAAACTGTTTAAGGAAACTGATTGAAACAAACCATTTAAGTTTTAAAAAACTAATCTATATAGAAGTACCTTGCATAAACTTACTCTATTTAAGTAGACGTAATGAGGTATTTAATTAACTCATTACCTTCAACAGTTCAAAACTCTTTTAAAATGAGTAGAATTAACTTTCAGTAAATTTGAGTTAACTACACTCATTTCGTTTGATTAAGTTAACTGTTGGGTTTTACAGTATACCTTTACATTACTATGCCTATCAATCAGCAAAGTTTAAGATTAAATGAAACAATTATTTCCTTGAAGAAATAGTGTGAGTGGAAATTTTTCAGAATACTCCAAACTGTACACACAAAAGCACTAGTCAATAACCATGTTAAAATTCCCTTTACTCAAAGAACGTCTCACATCATACAAAATGACAAGGCTTACAGTGTATAACACTTTTCAGCGTATCGAAATAAACAGATCACTGCTGACATCTACAGATCATTAATATAATATGTAAATAAGCCTACACTGAGACGCAGAGAACAAACGTGATTAGCATATACATATATTCCTGCTATAACAACTTTCTGTGATTGAGCATTTCCAATAATCAGAGCATGAATATCATATAAACACCTTTTCAGAAGTTTAACTTACAATTTCTCGCACAAAAACTGCTTGTATAAAAAGTTGATAACTGACCTTTAAATATTTGATTCCAGTGATTTCAGACCCAGTGATTTATAGCGAGAATGCAGTTTTCAGTGTACTGAAAAATAGCAGCAATTGCTTATGGAGTTTACACAGGAGGAAAAGAAAGGGTTAATGAAAGGCCTCTAGTATCACACCTAAAACATTTTAGCTGGTTACGTTGTCCAGTTTAATACTGCACAAGTCAGAGACGTCTCAGCTGCTCCTGTATCTTCTAAAAAATCAAATTCAGCATCTTTAAAAAATTCTGTCATCATTTACTTCAAATGGTTCCAAACGTATAAGAGTTTCTTTCAGGTCAGTTTTTGATCCCCATTTTGCTTTTCATAGTAGGGACATAAATGGGAAAACCAGCATTAAGAGGGATTTGGTTACCCACATTATTCAGAATATATTTAATATTAAACAGGAAACTCAGCTTTGGAACAACTTGAAGCTGAAAAAAATAATGAACCTTTTCATTTCTGGGTTAATCGACCCTTTTAAAGCTGCTATTACACACTACACTGAATACTCAGTGAAATATGTCAGTTAAACAGATGACAAATGACATTATGCTGCAATGAGTTCATGTCATGTACATTAAAAAAAATATTATATAAACTATTAAAATAAGGCAGGTCATAACTACAGTGTTTGGATAAAAACAGCATTGATAAAAGATCCAAACAGCAGATCTTGGCTCAGCGACTTGACGACTGCATGTTGGCCAGTGCTAACAGTGCTCTAACAACTGTGCAGTTAAGAGTAGTACTTAAAGCGCAATAAGGAATGCTGCTATTATTCATAAGAACATAAAAGAAAGGCAAAGATAAAAATAGAACTTCTGCATGAAGAAAAACAGTCAGTGATGCGCTCAGTCGTCCAATCAGAAGATCTGAACAAGAAGTGGACAGCAAGTAGATCAAACATTCTAGATGATCAAACATCCATTCACAACAGGAGCGGGTCATCTATGTGCTGCTGCTGCTGCTGCTACAACAAAGAGCTGTATAGAGTCAATCAAAAGAGGTATAAGAGTTATAAAAGGAAAGGTGGTCGTCAAACACTGAGAGCGTGCTGCTAGCCCTTCAAGTTCTCTTATTTGTGGTGAGATCTGGGCTCGTGGATGCCATCTGTTCTCTATGTTAGCCCAGCACAGTTGTCTGTTCCTGCACTGCAAGGGCACTGGAATGTGTTTGACTGGAATGTCGTGCTCAAAAGAAATGTTTTGATGGTCCAAGGGACAGGTGCTGGGCATGTGCTTGAGGCATCGCTTTCAGAGTTCAGTGGTCAGTAGACCTTTGGGCTTGTGGTTGTTGTCCTTGGTCGAATGAGCCACAATGCTGTCAAAGAATCAATCAAATTGTTTATTAACTAGTAAATGCAGATTACATTTTAAAGAAATTTTAAAGTTATAGTATGCTACACTGAAAAAAAATGCGTCATTGCAAATTGTTGCAAATAATTTATACAAGCTGAATTTAAACAAATCAAGTTGAACATGACTAAATTTATTCGTTTGTTTAAATTCAGCCCATTTAAATTGTTTGCAA